ATCGGGATACAAATAGTGTATCGGAAAGCTTATATTTTGAATCGTGAATCGAATCGTATCGTGAATCGTAAGATTCATGATCAATAAAAACATATATATATATATATATATAAACAAATATAAAAAAATAAAATCATACATTAATATATAGTTAATAATATATAAATATATTCTAATTTATTTATTTTTACATATATATATAAATATTAAATAATTTATAATACATATAATTAATGATATACATATAAAAATAGAAACATAACTTAATTTATACATTAAATAATTTCAATAATTAAAATTTATAGTAGTTAAACAAAATAATAAAAAAATTAAGAAAACAAAATATTTAAGGTTTTATATTAAATTTTTTATTACTTAAAATATTATCTGAATTATAATAATAATTAATAATAAAGAGAAGTTACCTTCTTAAAAAAAAAATAGTGAAGGCCAAATCAAAAGATAAAATAAAATTTGGGCCCATTTGGCCCAACTTTTCTTTGAAGAAGACAGGTTGCATATGCCGGAGATGACAGAGTCACCGCCGGAGGAGACACAGTCGCTGTCAGAGAAGATAGATCGACGGAGATTCGTCGGAGAAGAAGACAGATCGGTGGAGGATCGGCACTTTCCCTCTCTTTTCTGCATTTTTTTTAGGGTTTCCAGAATCAGGTCGCGCGTGACTCGATCCAGTTTCGAGGCGTGACCCGCTGTTTCGAAATCGTGCGATTTCGTCCAGAATCGCGATTTTTCCGATTCACGCAACGATACGCACGATTCACATGCGATTCTTAATCAAAAACGAGACAACTTGCGATTCGTATCGCGGAAGCTCGGAATCGTATCGTATCGTACGATACGAATAGCGATACATCCGATACTTACTACCATGCACTGCAATATCAATGTTACTAAGAGACATGGTGAAAAACTCTAATACCAATCAATAAGTACCTTGGGAGAATTATATCACAAAAGCTAGAAGTTGTGTTGTAAATAAAGCACGAGATCTTATAAAATGCCACTAAAATCCCATACTTCTAATGTGGAACTCAAGTCTTGTATCTTGCAATTTAGATACTAACAGAAACCTTGCATTAGGGGGAAACCCAGTGTTTGTTGATGATTGTACTAAAATCTGGCCTAAAACCTAGATTATTTCTGTAGTTTTTCAGATTCAATTTGTTTATTTCTTGAATCTTGAGTCCAGCAGATTCATAAGTTCACTAGGAATTACAATAAAATTTCCATATCTAACTCACTTAGCTTAAATGTAGATATAATGGATACCAGATAGTAATTATCTCTAGGCTTACATGTTTTGCCATGCCAAAGTCTGCCAACTTGACCCGGCCATTTGGATCTACCAGTATATTTGCTCCTTTGATGTCCCTTTAGAAATAAATGTAAATTCATAGATATACACATCAGAACTTAGCAAAAATTAAAACATTGAAATCATGAATAGATGACTTGTTTTACCTATGCAGAGTATTTTTAGCGTGTAAATAAGCAAGCCCTGATAAAATTTGTTGAGTATAACTACGAATAACTAGTTCACCAAACTGCCCATATTCTCGAAGAAGTTTATGTATAGAGCCTCCAGATACATACTCAAGGTATATGTAAAGCTTGTCATCAACCTGTTCAAGGGATGATTCAGAAGCCTCTATAAGTAATCACAATAACAAAGAGTGTTGAGAAACTCCCACTTCTATGTTAGCAGATAAACCACCAGAAACAAATATTTGTGACCAGAAATCGAGAATATCATGTGATACATTACAAATGGACAGTCTAGAACAAAACTCATAATAAATCCTCATCACTCACAGGAAGGTAAAGATCAAAATCTGAATGCTAACATGTTTTGTCAGTACGGTTTTGTAAGCAGGAAGTGAAGGAGAAAACCTACCGTTTCAGAACCATAATACTGCACAATATTTGGATGCTGTAAACGGCTTAATAAATGAATTTCCTGCCAGCAATTTTGTAGTTAGATTTTCAAAGCTTTGTCAAATTCAAATCAGAACTAGAAAACTACAATATTGCACCTAAAGAAAATGAATCATTTATCTGCATGAAATTATACTAGATTTGAAAGGAATCAATTTACCTGCATAAATTGCTTAGCACTTTCCATAGACTTAGGATCATCTGAAAACAGGGTAACCTCCTTGACTGCACACATTTCGCCACTTTCACTAAAAGAGAGAAACATTTAAAACAAAGCAAATCATATTAAGATGCATATATAGAAATGGGAAGAAGAAATAAATAAATAAATAAAAAAAAAAATAGTGAAGGCCAAATCAAAAGATAAAATAAAATTTGGGCCCATTTGGCCCAACTTTTCTTTGAAGAAGACAGGTTGCATATGCCGGAGATGACAGAGTCACCGCCGGAGGAGACACAGTCGCTGTCAGAGAAGATAGATCGACGGAGATTCGTCGGAGAAGAAGACAGATCGGTGGAGGATCGGCACTTTCCCTCTCTTTTCTGCATTTTTTTTAGGGTTTCCAGAATCAGGTCGCGCGTGACTCGATCCAGTTTCGAGGCGTGACCCGCTGTTTCGAAATCGTGCGATTTCGTCCAGAATCGCGATTTTTCCGATTCACGCAACGATACGCACGATTCACATGCGATTCTTAATCAAAAACGAGACAACTTGCGATTCGTATCGCGGAAGCTCGGAATCGTATCGTATCGTACGATACGAATAGCGATACATCCGATACTTACTACCATGCACTGCAATATCAATGTTACTAAGAGACATGGTGAAAAACTCTAATACCAATCAATAAGACTAAAATTGTTCAATTAAAAATTGAAGAACCAAAATCGCACAGTTGTAATCTTTTAGGAGTTAAAATTATCCAATTAAAACTTTAAGGATCAAACTTGCCCGATTACAATACTTAAGAGATCAAAAATGTACTTAAGCCAAATGATTAATGCTCTAATTTCAATATAGCTAGAAAAAAAAAAAAAAGTTGTTGCCTTAGCTGGATTGGGTACACTTTGACCCACGATTCTATTTAGGAATTAAGACACACCGCCCGTATTTCATAGTTGGAGAACTCATTTCCAAACGTTTGCTTGTTATTCCAGCATATATAGTGCAATACTTTTTTGTTCAGCATAGATACATTACATAGATGACTACGGGGGTTGTTGCTTCCGTGTAGCTTTTTCCCACTATCCTCCTGTAAGAAAAAAAAATAGAAAGAGAAAAAGAAAGAAGATATAGATGACTATAATAAGTTATTATGTCACTTACATGTTGATGAGAAAGAGCAACCAGATTCCCAAATTAATGTCTCATCAGCAAACTTTGCTTTCACATATATCTGGCAAAGACACATAATTATATGCAGAAATATTTATAGCAAGGAAGACTTAAGTAAGCAATTTAGTAGCATACATATATAAAGTCATAAAGCCACACTCCAACTCTCTTACAATGATTATTTTATAGTTGGGCATTGGATCCATAAAAAAGAAAGAAAAAGGTCGTAACTTTGTGATGAAGGGTTTTGTGATGACTACCTCTTGTCTCACTAAATGTTACTGTTGGATAACTCCTTTGCTTCTATATGGAAGAAGGACCCTACATGTTTTATGGTTTTCTCAATGGGAATGGGTCCACTATCGATCTTTGGCTAGAGTAAAAGAAACGTTTGCACATCCTGGTGAAACTTTGAGTACACTAACTGCCATTTTAATGATAGTTGGAATCAAAGGAAACATGGACTATATTAGAAAGTATGCATATCCAATAATCCTAATATGGTTCGATATGGGCATCAGTTTAGAACTTGTGTGATGTGTGCAATGCTAATCCAAATTTCAAGTACAGTGATGTATAAGGAGACATGAAAGTACATATTGGATGAAACGATGTATCGATATTAATTCACAATCCCAGCACATGGGTGGCTTGTTGATAACAAAAATTTTCTTGGTTCATTCTGGATCGTAATAATAATATCTACACGTTTTATTTATTTATTTTATTATTATCCATGTTCATGTCAAGTGTTTTTAGATAATAAAAGAGAATAATTAAATGTGTGTGAATTTATTGACATGGAATTAAACCATTAAGATCAATGTAGCTAATGATGAAAAGTTAAAGATAATATATACAAAGTCTAATATTTGAATCTTATTATTGTTATTATAAATTGTTATGATAAAAAAAAGCGTATTAGAATACTATCTGTTTTGGTCTGTTTATTATTGGTTGAAATTCACAATTTTTTGTGAAATTCGTATTTTATCTGATGAGTATCTTTTTTAATTTAATAATATAAATTATTAAAGTTTGTGATTTTCAATTAAGAGTAAAAAAATATTAAAAAAAAGTGTTAAAGAAAATGTCATTAACATTTATTAAAAAAATCTGAAACAAATTGTTTCATATCAATAATACTTGTAATCTCCCAAATTAAATATAATAAAAGAAAAACTATTCATTATAATGCACTTTTCTATATTTATAAAGATACAAATCACAACAAATAAATAAAAACAATTTAATTTAAATACATTGGTATTGTAAAGTATTTTTACATTATGATTCTATTTTAAGTTACTATTTTTGTATTTGATAACGAATTTGTTAAGATTAACACATATTCAACAAAAGCAACTTAACGTGTGTTTAAAAGCAACTTAACTAATTTCATTTAAAAAAAAAAAAAACTAATGGAAACATGAGTTTCTGTGTAATAAATTTATCTTTCTTCTCTTTAATTTCTGTGCTGTTAAATAACTATATGTGAAATCTTCCCTTTCTTGAAATAGGTAATGATTATGTTACGGTGCATGAACTAAGGAATTGACATGAACCATGGATTGACCATTACCAACATGTAAGCGGCCATAGTAATTTTGTAATAAGCTTGAATGATATATGTATAGGCACTTATCCATGATGTCGTTGAAACACACACAAACTTCGTATCCAAGTATATATTATTTTCTAATTTCGTAATTCATAGAAAACCCACAACATTTAGAAAGAGAAAAAAATATTAGTTTCTTCATCACTAATAAAACATTAAAGAAAATTATGAATTAATTATTGCAGAAAAACCAGTCAACCCTTAAAGGTGAAGAAGCAATGGGGCAAATGGATGTGCTCCCATCCAGAAGTAAGCACAAGAAATGCTTTAACTAGAAGGCTAGAATTAGCACAAGTGCAGATCACATGCCCAGCCCGGAAGCACGTGCCAGTGTACCTGCTTTTCACGTGCCGTGGCGCCCAAAGCCCAAAAACTCAAAAGAAGCCCCACTTGCGCCCACATGCAAAGCGCGCGTCACGTTCACCCGCCAACCAAGAGCGTCACGCAGTCTCGAACGGAAGCGTGTCAGAGCAGGCACATACTCCAACGCAATAACGGCCGGAGCCTCACAAAATCAGAGACGTCCACGTGTCCAGATCGAAGCCCATCACAGAAAACCAACGGCCAGAAAATCCGAGAACAACTAGGCCGGATCGCAATAGATGCTTCCCTGAGAAGATTCAAAAATTTCCGTCCGCTTTTCAAATTTTAAATTCCCCCTTAAATGGAACGGCTCCGTGAAATCCCCGTTAACTTAACGGCGTGAGGAGTGGTGCTATAAAAGAGTCACCTGGTGAATTGTTGTTGTTCAGAGTAGAGAGTAGAGAGTAGAGAGTAGAGAGTAGAGAGTTGAGAGTTGAGAGTTGAGAGAAGAGGGTTTGTTGACATCAGTTAGTGAAAATGCGTGAGATTCTTCACATTCAGGGAGGGCAATGCGGGAACCAGATCGGAGCCAAGTTCTGGGAGGTGGTGTGCGCGGAGCACGGGATCGATTCGACGGGGAGGTACCAGGGGAACAACGAGTTGCAGCTTGAGCGAGTCAATGTTTACTACAACGAAGCCAGTTGTGGACGATTCGTCCCTAGGGCGGTGCTCATGGATCTGGAGCCTGGAACCATGGACAGCGTCAGATCTGGTCCCTACGGTCAGATTTTCCGCCCGGACAACTTCGTCTTCGGGCAGTCCGGCGCCGGTAACAACTGGGCCAAGGGTCACTACACCGAGGGAGCTGAGTTGATTGACTCCGTTCTCGATGTTGTCAGGAAGGAGGCAGAAAACTGTGACTGCCTTCAAGGTATTATTAGGGTTTTACCTTTCCTATTTTCTATTGTTTGCTCTTGCTTTTCGAATTAGGTTTTTATTTCTGTTTCTTTCTTAGTTTCTAACTGAAAATTGATGCTCTCTGATTGTTCATATTGCCTGTTTCTTTGTGCTGAAATGGAAGTGTGCTTATGTTTACCTGACTTGATTTTGCTAATTGTGCGAGACATCGTTGGCGTGTTTTTGCCCGGTTTTGTATTTTGAAAATAGAATTAGCGGAGATGGTGAGTTGTGCGTGCTGTTTTCTTTACTGGTTATTAATTTTTCATTTGCTATTTGAGTGTGGAGACTTGATTGAGCTTCATTATATGCGAAGGCTCTTTCTTTTACTAAGAGCAAGTAATTAAGGTGTTAAAATTTGTGGGTATTGTTTGCAGGGTTTCAAGTTTGTCACTCTCTTGGTGGTGGAACTGGTTCTGGAATGGGAACACTTTTGATCTCAAAGATCAGGGAAGAATATCCCGATCGAATGATGCTCACATTTTCTGTGTTCCCATCACCTAAGGTTTCTGACACAGTTGTTGAACCCTACAATGCAACACTATCGGTGCACCAACTGGTTGAGAATGCAGATGAATGCATGGTTTTGGATAATGAAGCTCTCTATGATATTTGCTTCCGCACCCTTAAGCTCACAACTCCAAGCTGTGAGTTCTTCTTGCCTTTCCTTCAATTGTAGTTTTGGAATTTTCGTTGTTGATGTTGTCCTTTCTCTGATTTGTTTATTGACATTGGATATATGTTTTTGTTTTTGTTAACAGTTGGAGATCTGAACCATTTAATCTCAGCCACCATGAGTGGTGTAACATGTTGTCTTCGATTCCCTGGTCAACTCAATTCAGATCTTCGCAAACTTGCCGTGAATCTCATTCCATTCCCTCGTTTGCACTTCTTCATGGTGGGATTTGCCCCACTCACATCCCGTGGATCGCAGCAATACAGGGCACTCACTGTACCCGAGTTGACCCAACAAATGTGGGACGCCAAGAACATGATGTGCGCAGCTGATCCTCGCCATGGTCGCTATTTGACAGCATCCGCAATGTTCCGTGGTAAGATGAGCACCAAAGAGGTCGATGAGCAGATGATCAATGTTCAGAACAAGAATTCATCCTACTTTGTCGAGTGGATTCCGAACAATGTGAAATCCACTGTCTGTGATATCCCTCCAACTGGTTTGAAAATGGCATCAACCTTCATTGGCAATTCTACTTCTATTCAAGAAATGTTCAGGAGGGTGAGCGAGCAATTCACGGCTATGTTCCGCAGAAAGGCTTTCTTGCACTGGTACACTGGAGAGGGTATGGATGAAATGGAGTTCACCGAGGCTGAGAGCAACATGAACGACCTTGTATCGGAGTACCAGCAATACCAAGATGCAACTGCGGATGATGAGGGTTATGATTATGAAGATGAGGAGGAAGCTCCGGAAGAAGATGAAGCTTAAACAGTAGTAGTGTTTTGGAGGCTGTTTCTGTTTGTGTTGTGATAATGTGTCAATGTTGTCCTTTTTCTTTTTTTACCTGAATACCTTTTTCGGGGTTTTGGACTGTTTTGGGGCGCTCTGCCTGTCGTTGTGACTATGGTAGGTTAGAATTTTTACTGTTCTGCATGTTTTCATTATTGTTAAAAAATGGTGTCCCTTTTTCTTTTCTGGAAGATTGAAAACCAACCTAGATATATATGGATATCGTTCTTCATGTTAAGCTTGCATTTGTTTGGATTGAATGGGTTATACATTGCGTTGTGGTGATGTAGATTTGGCTCCAAATATACCTTCGTGATGGCAAAATAAATTAATAATGGTTTGCTTTTGAAATCAATTTTGATGGCAAAATAAATCGTGGATCATGTTTGGAAGCGATTTTATGGTCTGCCTTTTTTGGTTCAATTTGTTTTAAGGATCCACTTTTTGTTCAAATTTTGTATATTTGATTATTTAACTTGCTGTCGTTTATACCTCTTAGCCTGTTCTGTTGTTTAAAAGTGCGAAATCCATTTAATGAGAGAAGGTTCTTTCTTTGCTCAGATTAATTTTGTTGGTCATATAGTACCAGTTAATTTCCCCCAAATATGTAACGTTACTACATATAAGCTGAAATATTTTCGAACACAAAATTACTACTTAAACTAAAAATACAATGCAGATGTTCATTTTATTTGCCGCGTAGCACAAGCCTACTACGTGTATTATATTTAATCTATATAGTTGCTGATGGAATGTATGTATTTAAGAATATTATTAATGTTAACCATATATTATATTTGTTAAATATACATGGATAAATACAGAAAATAAAATTTGTTTGTTCAAATTAAAATTGACTAAGTGTAAATTTAACAACTAAATTCTTTTAAATAAGATTTTGAGTTCTAATGTGATAGATGTAAAATGTAATTAGAAAAAGTGATTCCCTAAAGCTGATTTATCTAGATTTTTTTTACAAAGATTAAAACTTGTAAATGAAACAAAAACATAAGATAGTTATTTAAGTTTTTTCAATAAAAATTAATTAAAAAATATTTCATACTAAATACAATTTAAAAAAGAAAATAGATGTTGAAAAGAAAAATGGACAAGTGAAATGATTGCATGTACCAATAATTTTTATTCGGGTGGCTGGGACAAAATGCTGGCATATATTCCTCCCAAACCCAAACAACTAGCTATCACGTGTATCTTTGTTGTTTAGCTACTATGTTAATCTTCACGGATTGAATAATGACCAGAATTGATCTAGCATCGTCAGAATATAACTTTATTAAGAGTGAATATATCACTCTTTGAAACTTTTTCTTCGATCGAAAATATTATAATTCCTTAGCATTTACCTATAGTTCAGAGGCCCACCAAGATATGTTTGAAACTGGAGTTTCAGGGCTTAAATTCCTCGTACCCAAAGGACAAAGCCAATCCCTACAATAACAGGCTGGATCTAGAAATATGGTAAAAATAAAATTAATAATAAAGACTAAATAAATAGAATTTATTAATAGTAGTTTCTGTATTAAACATTTTAATGATCTTCTCTCGATGTAAATAACTAAATAATTCATTAAAAATATTTTTATATTCATTTGAAAACTAATTTTGTAATTAGAAGTGATCTATCAGGTAAAGAGCAAATACCAAATAATGCAATCAATCAAAAGATAAGTCAAATATTGTATTGCGTTCGCATATCTTTGACATATCTAAAAAATTGTTGACAGACTTCTCATTCAAAATGAATGTCAAATTTAATATTGATTTTATATTCTAAGATGAAATTTCTCTTTAGGTAAAACTTGATATTTTAAAATTGGAATAATCATTAAATTAATCTAAATACTAATTTAAAGTTGAATCGTGATTGAATGGTAATCAAACTGATATTAATAAAATAATAATATTATTATCTATAAAAAATAATAATATTAAATAATATAATATTATAATTTAATAATACTAAATATTAAAATAAAACTTTATTTATAAATTAACATTTAATATATACGTAAAATTTTAAATTATATAATATAATATTTATGTATAAGTTTTAATAAAATATAACAATTTTCACTAATAACAAATTTATATTTAGGATAAAAAGTATCATATTAATATAATATGAATTAAAAAATAAAATACTAAAAAATATAAATTAACCCAAATTATTAAAATTTATTTATAAGATAAGTATTAAATATTTTTAATTAAATTTTAAAAATTAAAAAATTTAATTACACCAATTTAAATCAGTTTGATCGATTTTTATGCAATCAATTTGTGAGACCTAAAATTAAACCAGTTTAAGTTCAAATTTCATGGTTCATAAAATTAAAAAAAATGAACAAAGATTCAAAAAATGAATAAAATTATTCATAGGACTGGGAAAAAAATTGTGGGTAGATCAAACCCAAACAACTCAATCATAAATTTGGCTATTTGGCGGTTATGGCCGAATAAAATTTGAGTGGGTTTGAATATTTTGATATTCGGCTTGTAATGGATGGGTTTGAAGCTTTGAATGTATTGATTTCTTTTTGTTTTGTTGATTAAGAAAGGTGTATTAGTTTAGGATTTTTTAAGATTTTAAAAGATTTTTTTTTGAGTAAAAAAATTTATAGGTATTCAATCAGGATTTTATGTCACTTAAAAATAATTCAATGGTATTTAATATGGATTTTCAAGATTTTTTAAAGAGTCTATTAAAATTTATTGGTATTCATTTGAGATTTTTTACAACTTAAAAACAATTTATTAGTATTCAAAAATATAAGAATTTTAAAGGATTGTTGTGTGAAAAAGATTTTGAAGGACTTTCTAGTGTTATCTATAAATACTAAATTCATAAAACAATTCAATCCAAATCCATCGGATTTTGAAAGATTGTTTGAAGTGACTTTTCAAGAATTTTCAAGTGAGTTTTTCATCTTTTTTTTTCTCTATTTTTTTTTCTGCTAATAATATTACACTATTGTTTACTGCTCATATATTATATTGTAGTACTGTTCTCATTTCATTCTCCTATTTTGTGAAACTCCTGTAAGAATTTTCTTTTTGTTTTGTTGATTAATTTTTTGTAAATTTGACAATTTGTGAAGCAGAGCAAATAAATTTACAAATAATTGTTTTAACCCATAAGATGAATCCAGTCGATCTGCCACCCGGTTTAGTCGATAGACAGAACAGGTGAAACATTAATCCAAATTTCACATAATCAATTTACTTCATTTTGAAAATTTTGAACCTGGATGTGACCATAACTAACTAGTGTTCAACCCTGTTTCTTTATCTAATGGATGTGCTTCTTAGAAAACTACAATTTTTTCTGTTATTCCTGTTGAAACCCTTATGAAATTAGGGATGAAAAGTCTTGGATAGTATAATTATATAATACTTTTTTAAAGATAAAACTAATCTTAAATCTTTATTTGTAACATCGAACTTGCCCATAAGCTAACAGTAACACAATGTTTAAATTTAGGTTGGTCTTCTCCAAGAACAGTGTTTAAATCTTCATCGGCAAGCTACTTATTTAGGCTCCAGAGAGTATTGAGCTGTTCAAGTTTGAGAAACGAAGTGTTCTGCTACGAGACGCCTTAGAATCTTGCCAGTGGCGGTCTTTGGCAAAGAATCAGTGATGAAGACCTTTTTAGGGACTTTGAAGGTTGCAAGGTTCTTCTTGCTAAATCTCTGCACCTCTGCCTCGTCAATGTTTGATCCTTCTTTTGGGATGATTGCACAATTTATCTGTTAAAATTGACTCGGGTTACAAATAATTTTTTGGCACTCTTGTATACTTGTTTCCTTATTTTTAATTTTTTTAAAAAAACATTCTCATTTTTTTAAAAACATTAAATGAGGGAAAAAAAATAATCGTAGTAAAACGAGTGTCGTTATCTAAAGCAAAAAGTATGTTCGGTGTGAAGTCTGAAAAATTTTCCCTAACGACATCTAAATGATTTAAGTACTGTAGACTGTAGTTACAAACAAAAAAAAAAGGTTGTTTCCTGCAACTATCGGACTTGTGAATTGTGATGCTTACGTAATGTTGGTCTTTGTCAGTAATTATTTATGGTAAATTTTTTGATTTTTTTAATGATATTTATACAAAATATTTACCATCAAACAGTAATTATTCTCTATTAGAAGATGGAGATTATAAATATAGATAAAGTAAGTATTTTTTTTCTTCTAATATAACTCGAAGTTAAAATTTAGGTTAAAATTTTTATTTGGTCTTTTATAATATTATTTTTAATTTAGTTTCATTTTAATTTTTTTGTTTCAATTTAGTTCTTAATAATTTAAATTATTGTAATTTGGGACTTCCGTTTAAATAATTTAAACGGAGTTAATTGTTGGTCACGTGAATGTTAGGTGGATGTCAAATAAATGTATAGGTGGATGTCAAATTTCATGAATATACCTGAAACCAGAACGGCCCGTTCTAGGCACAAAATTAACATATCAAGAGTGCAACCAGAACGGGCCGTTCTGGTTTCAGGTGTATTCAAGAAATTTGACATCCACCTACGCATCTACGTGACATCCGCCTGATATCCATGTGGGTAACAATTAACTTTGTTTAAATCATTTAAACAGAAATTCTAAATTACAATAATTTAAATTATTAGAAACCAAATTAAAATTAAAAATTAAAATAAGACTAAATTAAAAAAATAAATATTATAAGACACCAAATAAAAATTTTAACCTAGAATTTAAGTTTTGAAGAACTTGACTAATTAGTACAAGTCTCAACCACTTATTTAATCAATGTTGGTGCAGTTTCGGTACGTTGAATAAATTATGAAACTCCAAAATTATTGTAGTTTGTGAATAAAATATTAACATGTCAGAAATGAAGAGAAGTTTACATAGAGACATAAAATGATACCATGTGTTTGTTGTGAACAAACCGATAAAGTCGTCTGGGATTTAAATATATATAATATATATATATATATATATATATATATATATATATATATGCACATAAACACCTAGGAACACCTAGGAATTGATAGTAATATTTTTAAAAAATTAGTCTCTATAAATAATAGGCTTTATTTAACATCGATTTATGCTTATGAGTTTACAACCTTTCTATGTTTGAAAGGTTTGTTGAGATCAAAGTGTGATTAAAAAAGTGATAAAGAACAATGGAGAGGTCCAAAAACAAAAGGAATAAAGGGAACATGACCATCGACACGATTCCTCAAAAATGCGTTTTTTCTTCCTAAATTAAACAATTTAGTGAATCAAATTTATTTAATGGAGTTTAACAGATAATAATGTCCGTCCAGCAATAAAAATCATAAACAGTCTAATGTATCAACTTTATTACTAAGTTCAAAAGAAAATAATGCCCGTTCAGGTTACTATCATACAAATTTGACACGTATGATAAGATCATTGATTTTTTTTATTATAGCAATTTATACATATTATAAAAGAATATATTTTGATAACTATTTTCTTGATTTCTACTTTTTTAATAGATAATTATACATTTTAAATATAAAAAAATCTTTTTATATTTTTTTTAAATAATTATTATAATTTATAATATTTATTTAAGTATAATTATTAGAAACAGGAAGTACTTCACCACTCTAATCTTAATAAATTAAATCTTAATAAATTGAAAGTATATTAATGATGAGATATAAGTGATTTACTGTTATAATTGTTTTTTATCCTAGTTTAATGTAGTATATCACAATCTTAATCTCAATTGAATCAACTAAAAGCTTAAAATAGATGTAGTTTTTACTAACTATCATAATTATAAAAACACATACCTCTTCGCCATATTTGTCATCCGGCACTCCGAATGCAACTGCCTGAGCAATGTCTGGATGAGACAGAAGGACGGCATCCACCTCTATTGGTGATATTTTCTCCCCTTAAAACAAAACAAAAAAAATAATTGCTTTTATAACACCATAGTTTCGTAATATATATATATATATATATATATA